TATTTTTCAGAAGCAACTTAGCTGAATATTTCAAAGACAGTAGAAATGTGAAGAAGCTTAAAGATCCCAGTAAGTATATTTTGTGAGCAATCAACAATTGGGAAACAATCAGAGCTAGCCAGTGTGGGTGTATACTAACCTTGGTTTCTCTTCCTTCTGCTCATAGCCATGCGGTTCCGGCTGTTAAAGCATACACGTCTCAACGTTGTTGCTTTCCTCAATGAGTTACCCAAAACTCAACATGACATCAATTCCTTTGTGGTAGACATAAGTGCCCAAACAGTAAGCATGTGTTCTCTCCTAACAGAAGCCCAGCAAGGGGGTGGGTAATGGACTCAGCACACACTGGGTGAAGAGGCCTAAGCTCTGGTTGGAGACCTCCATTGCTTCTGGTGTTTTTTTCTCTTTCAGAGCACATTGCTGTGTTTTTCTGTCAATGGAGTCTTCAAGGAAGGTAAGAATTTTGAGTTCTGGACCTTTCTAAGTAGTCTTAGCTTCCCAGCTATTTCTCATCCCTTTTCTTCTCTGACCTCTTCCCTTTTCTGCCCAGTACGTCTTGGTTTGGCCTTAGTTCCTCCACCTGTCTTATCTGTAGTGTGACAGAAGCCTGGGAACCAGAACAGTGTTGGTTCTAAAAGTCAGGCAGGTTTTCATTTCTATCCTGTGTTTATTCTGTGGGTCTGGGAAAGTTACCTTTCCTCCAAATCTTCCAATTTTTTTTTTTTGTTTTTTTTGTTTTTTGTTTTGTTAGATGAGATTCGTGATACTCTTTTTAAAGATTTATTCATTATTCCTACTATATTCTGCCTGCATGTGTGCTTGCTCACCAGAAGAGAGTAACAGATCTCATTATAGATGGTTGTGAGCCACCATGTGGTTGCTGGGAATTGAATTCAGGATCTGTAGAAGAACATCCAGTGCTCTTAACCACTGAGCCATCTCTCCAGCCCCGTGATACTTTTGTACATTGGTGCTTTAGGACATGAAGTGACTTAAGACACTTTGCCAGGCCACAGGCTAAATACTTTCTAAGTTGTTTTACTTACTTCCTGTGGCATTCAGCAAGTTCTGTTACTGTCCTCCCTGATATTTCCCTCATCTCATCTCTGTTTGTGTCCAAATAACCACGCTATTCTCATTGCAGTGGATGGGAAGTCTCGGGATTCTTTACGTGCTTTCACAAGAACTTTTATTGCTGTTCCTGCCAGCAATTCAGGGTAAGTGCACAGCTTATCAGGTTGGGTATCAGTCTCAGTCCCAGGACAGCAGTGATAATTGGAAGGTAGAGTTTTCAGAATTGCAGAAAGGCAACAGGAAGTTTATGAAGTTTGAATAACAACTATCAGTAGGATAGGGAGTGAATATATAATAATTCTGGTGTGTTTGAGAGATGATCCTCCTAAATATCTCGCCCATAGTCAAAGAATAAATGATGAAAGTTAACATGGGGCAAGGGGGGTACCATGTGGATATTAGCCAGATCTGAAAACAGACGGTGTAGAATGGTGAGGTTATTTGTCCATTTATTTAAAGTGTTCTTTGTCCCCAAGGCTGTGTATTGTAAATGATGAATTATTTGTGCGGAATGCCAGCCCTGAAGAAATCCAAAGAGCCTTCGCCATGCCTGCACCCACACCTTCCTCCAGCCCAGTACCCACGCTCTCCCCAGAACAGCAGGAAATGTTGCAAGCATTTTCTACTCAGTCTGGCATGAACCTCGAGTGGTCTCAGAAGTGAGTGCTGAGCATGGGTAGGACCAAGGGGAAACAGATGGTCTAACAGTGAATAATAGTGCTTTAAAAAAATTATTTCCACTAAGAATTCTACATACGTTATCTTAAAAATTACAAAGCACAGAGAGTTGTCTTTCGTCCTCCCACCTACCTGTGGCTCTCCTCTCCCCACAGCAGAATTAGGGATTAAACCAAAACTTCACATATGCTAGATAGGCACAGTACCACTGAGCCAATGTCTCTGGCCCTTATGTTTTGAAACAGGGTCTCACTATGTACTTGTCTGGCCTTGAACTCAGAGTTCTGTCTGCCTCTTCCTCTTGAGTGCTGTGATTAAAGGCATGAACCATTGCACCTGGCCACCCATCCTCTTTTTTTTTTTTTTTTCTTGTCATTCATTTTGAGACAGGGTTTCATTAAGTTGTCGGAAACTGGACTGGAACTCTTTACCAAGTCCTAGATTCCAGTGATCCTCAGCATTCCAAGGGAGCTGGACTATAGGTGCATACCTGGTTCCAAAGTCCTTTTTATATATAGTTCTGAGACAGGGTCTCACTGTGTGCCTTAGCTGCTTGGAAGTCACTATATAGCCCAGGTTTGCCCCAGACTTACAGAGGTCCCCACCAGCTACAGCCTCCAGAGTGGTTAGGATTAAATGCCTGAACTATCTTGCCCAGCTGCAACTTAGTTTTTAAACATGTAAACCTTTCCCTACCAGTGTAAAACTACCTTGGTCATTTTTGTTAGACATTTTGGCCTTTTAGTATTTCATTTGTGTAAATGGTGCAATGGTGTATAAACTTAATGGAAAACATTGGTGACTTTATCCATGGGATGGATTCTAGAGTGGTGAGAGGGACTGCATTTTGGTTCTCATGTAACTTCCTATTTTAATCACACTCCAGGTGCCTTCAAGACAACAACTGGGACTACACCAGATCTGCTCAGGCCTTCACTCATCTCAAGGTAAGGTATGGGATTTTTGTGTCTAAAAACAGGGATCTCCAAGCCTTTGAAAGGGTCAGATTCAGATTAAGACTTACTGTGGTGCACTTGGGAGGCAGAGGTAGGCAGATCTCTGAATTTGAGGCCAGCCTGGTCTACATAGAGAGTGCCAGGACAGCCAGGGGTTGATATGAGTTGCCTGGGGAAGATGGGAAAAGAGGTCGTCTTGTTGAACTTATATTTTATCTTTCTGCAGGCCAAGGGAGAAATTCCAGAAGTAGCGTTTATGAAATGATCACAAGAAAAGCCCCCTTGTAAATAGCCCTTGGATAATATTGTCTGGTTGTCATCTGCCATCTCCTGTCCAGCCTGAGGCCACCCTGTAACTGTGACTGAGGAGGGACGGCTGCTCCATCCTCATCTACCTTCTGGAAGACTTAGAGAAGAAGACTTCCGGAAGATTGAGCCTCATGGTGCCGGGAAGCCAAAGCTTACTTTGTAGAGCTGACACTAAACTACCCGAAGGACTTAGGTGCTCTGTGTACTTAACCCCAGGATTCCCTTTACTTTTTAAGATAAAGAGTGATATTGTAGTTTGTGTCCCTTTACTGGCTTGTTTCCCTTAAGGCAGGAGGGTGATAAAGTGCGTCATGACAGGAAGTCCCGCCCTAAGGACGGAAGTGCCCTGCCATGGCGGCGCCTTGCCAGCGGTGTATCGGCGGGTTGTTGTCAGTCCTGAGATCCCGTCCTGTGTACCGGCCTTTGCAAAACGGGGTCCCACGGGATGTGTTGCTCTTCCAACACGAACGGGGCCGCTTCTTTGCCATCCTTGGACTGTTTTGCGCGGGTCAGGGCATCTTCTGGACCTCCCTCGCTGTTGCAGCCTTGTCCAGACCTCTGAACCGAGTTCCTGCGGAGGCTCCCAACCGGGGACACACGGACCTGCGCTCTGTACTCTGGCGCTACGGGCTAGCTCTTGGTTGCGGCACAGTGGGTAAGGGCGTGAGCTACAGGTTGTTGCGGGTCTGTTAGCACAATGCTCACTCAGGACAGAAGGGCTCCTAATCCTCCCAAATGAGCAAAAAGTGGAATACTCGGTAGGCGTGTGTTTACAATGCCTGAAATGCCTTGCACCCATCTCTAGCCGTGAAGCAGGCTACTGAAGCTACGGGCCCATTTTCTTCTTTTAACGTTGGAGCTGGCCATCTATAAAAATGTCAGTGGGATAGAACTCAATTTATAGAGTGCTTGCCTAGTGTGCATGAGGTCTTGGATTTAGCCCGCAACTACATAAACCACATATAGTGGCACCCAGGTGTATTCTTTACACAAATCAAAATTATTGAACATATAGCAAACCTGTAACCAGCATGGAGTAAAGGACCTGTCTTTTTGTTTTGTTTCTTTTTTAAATGACTTATTTTTTTAATGTGCATTGGTTTTTGTTTTTTTTTGCCTGCATATATGCCTGTATCAGATCCCCTGGAACTGGATTTACAGTTGTGAGCTGCTATGTGGTCCTCTGGAAGAGCAGCCGGTACTCTTAAACCAGTGAGCCATTCTCCAGCCCCCTTTTGGGTTTTTCAAGGCAGGGTTTTTCTGTGTAGCTCTGGCTCCCCAGAACTCACTCTTTAGACCAGGCCTGCTTCTGCCTCCCTAGTGCTGAGAGCAAAGGTCTGAACCACCATTGCCTAGTTACTCTTGTCTCTTTAAGGAAAAAAAAAAATGGGTTTAGGAACACAAAATTCTATAGTATAAATGCTCAAAGCTGTTGCTTCCATCACAGTAATTTGACTTGGCTTTAAGAGGGTCTGTATAACCCTTTACCCCATTTTGCTTCTGCAGGAGCCTTGGTCCTTGGTGCTGGTCTACTCTACTCTCTCAGATCTGTGCGTTCAGTCATGCTCCTTGCAGGAGGGAAACAAGTGACACTTACCACTTATGCCCCCTTTGGCTTGGGGACCCGTTTCACAGTTCCCTTGAACCAGGTTTCCTGCATGGCCCACAGAGGTGAAGTTCCTGCTATGTTGCCTCTGAAGGTCAAAGGCCGGCGCTTTTACTTCCTTTTGGACAAAGCTGGACACTTCCCCAACACTCAACTCTTTGATAACACTGTGGGTGCCTACCGGAGCCTGTGAAAAGTGGCCCCTCTCAGATGATGTAAACCCATAAGGAGACTGCTATAGGGCAATGAAAAGGTGCCCAGAGTTCACTAACAGCCAATAAATCTGTCTTACAAAGGGCCTGATGCATGCCTACTTAAAGACATTCTGTCCTCTCTCCTATATGTCTATTTGGTTTCGCATCAAGAACTCCATACCATTGTGAAGAAAAGTAATATATTATTTTGGTACAAAAAATGTTAAGGAGAAAAAGCAGAGGGGGCCTATTCTAATGTTTCCCTCCTGGAGGGAAAACTGGGGTTCCCAATATAAACAGGGCTGTATGGAGGCAAAAGGATTAAAAGCACTTAGGCGTGGAGGTTCTGGTGGTAGAAAGCACTGAGTATTCTTCAGGAATGAGACTGGCGGTGCCCAACAAGAGCATCGGTCTCAGAGCTCCACTCTGGGTCACCCCTCTCCTGCGGCTGGTATGGAGTGGCTTTAGACTTGCACTGCACGACCTGGAGCATCAAGGCCAGACACCACAATATCAGATTCACCCAAGAAGAGGTCTGTGAGAGAGAACAGGAATGTGAGGGAGGGAATCCTTCTTCAATCCAGTCCTACCCACACAATATTCTGTATGGTCAGACTAAGGTAACAGGTCCCCTGGCTACTTTGAGCCAAGTACATATCACACGGTGAACACTCCTAAGTTAGTTACTTAATCTTATCACATCCCTTTGTCTCACTTCAGCATTGTGTAGGTTGGTGTAAAACTGCACAGCAGTTCCAGGAGGTGTCCATGAGAATTTCTGGGCTTCAGGGCAGCTGTGAGGTCAGAGACACTTGTGAGAAAGAGGATGGGGATAAATGGGAACTTAAATGACTTGTCCCCTACAGTGGGAAGGTAGTCCCTGCCACACTTCCCTCCCATTCCCATTACCTAATTGTATGGTTCAAGGAGATGATGGAACTGCAGAGAGAATTGGTTCCAAATCGAAGTACACAGGCAGACACTAACACCAGGAAGATGGCTATAGCTGAGATGGCCAACGCAATTCGGAGCCCTACAGAACCTCTGAGGGAAAGAAAACAAACTTTGTGGCTGTGATGGGACTCCTCACCTCACTCCCTTGTCCTAGGTAGGGCAATCACCTGTGGGAATCCTCGATGCAGCTGCTGTAGACCCAGAAGAAGAGAAGCAGAAGGCAGTAGAGGGCCAGGAGGCCTGAAGCCCCAGCCACAAAGTAGCAGAGAGAAGGGGCTGAGGGACTTGACAAGGTCAAAGAGGAGCCGTTGAGAGCAACCACACCATACAAGGGACAGCTACCACCGAAGGAGCCCTGTGGAGAGAAGCTGTTGAGTCCATTTCAGTTCAGTGCTCCTAGATGCTGGTTCCTGTCAGATGTCGGAGCTGGCTCACAACTTAGGTGAACCAGAGTGACTGATGTGGATCTGCTGGGAACAAAGTCTGCAGGACCCAGGAGAGTCAGAAAATTCAGTGGGTTATAAATATAAAGAACCGAAGAGAATCCCAAGTTTTAGCCTTCCCTGTGAACAGAAATTCTAAAGCCCTGACTTTGTATGCCCTTTAACAAGACGCTCTCCTCATCTGCAAAAGTAGGCGTCCTAGACTCCTATAGCAACTCAAAAGTATTCCATTACCAAGACTGTCCAGCAGTAGTAAAAGTACATTGGTGTATACATTTCCTCATTTCACACATCGTGGTACAATCATGCAGCATCTTGATCACCTCCACTAGGTTTTTGTTTTGGATACAAATGTTTCTGTTAGGATGGATGCAGAGACTGGGCCTTTGTATCTCAGCATCCCAGTAAGCTTATGCAGTAATTAACCGGTTCAAACTGGGCTCGAAGACGCTCTGCGCGTCCAGTTCCTTTGGCCAGGAAAACAACTTTGGGAAGTTCTAGTCCCCAGCCCAATGTAGATACCGGGGCCAGAACCCCCATGCCGGCCTGCTCGACGCCAAGACCAGCCCACCCCTCAGCCACACCTGGGTCCGGGTCAGCGCCGCGGCCGCCACTGCCCCGGACAGGAAGGCGGCAGCGAAGAGCACGAGCTCAGCTCTCTGCAACCAGGGGAGCGCCATGGCGCCCAGGCCTCCAGGAAGCCAACCGCCCAAGCCCCGCCCACGAGAACAGACACGTCACTTCCAGGTGGGGATTTATTCTCCGAGGCGTAGTCTCACAGTGGCAGGTACAGCGAATAGTCCGAGAGCGCCCAGCGACGGGCGGGACGGCCAGTGCGGCCGATCATGGGTAACTTCTGCACATAGCGGGACGCAGGGCTCGGCCCATAGGGCGCGGGGAAAGCAGTCTGAAAGAGGCGCCCGCGGCAGCGCCGCCCAGCCTGACGCCCTGCGATTATAAACCGAAAGTGAGGGGTGCCACGGGGCGCAAAGCGGCTCTTCTGGAAGACATCTCGCGTTCCCGCGCCGGGACCCTGCTGCCGAGGGGCGCCCCGCGCCCGATGCACGCGCGGCAGTGGCCTGCTCTCTGAAGCGGCAGAGGCTGCCACTGCGGTCCCGCCGCCCGGACTTTCGTCCCCCTGAGGGCTGACCACCGCGCTGGCAGTCAGCTGCGGCATTTTCCGCACTGAGTCCGGGGCGGCTGCTGGCTCCTTCTTGTCTCCGGGCGGTCGTGGGGCCGTGGGCGCGGGCTGGCCAGTGCCAAAGCGGGTGGCCAAGCTGTCACCGAAGAAGGCGTATAGCTCACGGTAGATGTCTGCCAGGGTCAAGGAAGAAGGGTCCTCTGGCCCTGTACCCACTGGCGGCAGGGGGAGACCAGATCCAAAGCCTGGTTCGGTACCAGCCCCGGGAGATTCTTGCAGGAGAAGGCTGTCCCAAGGCAGATCCTCTGCATGATGGCACCCCCTCCCACCAAGGCCACCACGGTTGGGCTCTGCTGCCTGGGCTTTCATCTTCAGTAGTCGCTCTACAGCTACCTGTAAAAAAAAAGAGCTAGGAGGAACCTGGGCCCAGGCCCAAGAGATATCTCAAAGTAGACCTGCTGAGTATCTGCGGGTAGAAGCTGGGGCTGGTACTCACCAAAATAGCTCCATAGACTTTGTGCCCATCTGCTTTGACCTGCGCATTAGATACCGAATAGTCATCCAGCACCGCCTGCAAGTTTGTCCAGTAGGTGGGCAGATGTGGATACAGGACTCGTTCCACTGCCTAGAAGGGAAAGAAGAGATGCAGTTAAGCAACCTAGTTCCAAATGCCCGGAATACCCTTCCCAACAAAAGACACACTCGATTGTTGACAGGGCTAGTCCTCAATTCCATCACTGAGATATCCCACATATCTCTGGGAACTACTTTCGGTAAGCATGAGAAATAAAGACATACAAACGCAGGCCATATAAAATGCCCCCTTACTGGCATTTACCATGGGCTACTAAGGCATAATGGAATCATTATGACATGGTTTGCAGACTGCTAGTGAATACAAACAGTAGGAAAGTCGCGTTCTCATTAAGGAGAGCTGAGTTCAGACCACACTCATAAAAACAATACTGGGTTTTTTGTTGTTGAAATTAACATGCTGGATGCCCAGACTAGGCATGATATTCATGAGAATTCCCTTTCTTTAGCTTCCTAAGCTCTGGGATTATAGTGTACTACTGTTGAGGAATTTTATTTCACAACATGGCTGCTCTGGCAAGAGATCACATCCAAAAACTTTCTAGTGGCAGAAAAAGTGACCAAAGATTTGACAGAATAGGATATGCCCAACTCTCATAAGGAGAGGAAAGTGAAGCAGCACAGAGAATGAGGAAGATAGGAGGCTGTTTTACAGAGAGAGAGGTCAAAGAGAGAACAAGCTAAACACAGATAAAGACAGAACGAGCCAGAGGATGAGAAGGAGCCAGAACATATTGCCAAAGTTAGTATCAGGCCAAGGTGAACAATTCAGTCAGAAGCTGAGAGAAGCCAGTCTGAGTCACTCAGCTTGGAGAGGAATTTGAGCCAAAACAGCTGAGTTAAACCAGCCAGTCAGAGCTCAGAAAGAACAAGAAAGGGTAAGGTTATTCAGCAGTTAAGTCTCAGAGGCTGAAAATGAAAACATTCTCGTCCTAGATTTGATTGGATATAGGCTAGAAGCTTCCAGGACTAGGCTTAGGTTAATCAGGTAAATAAAAGTTAATTTTACATAATACCACACATGGCTGCGGGCAAAGCACTGTCTAAATAAAGACAATGACATTTGAGATGGACTTTGACATATAAGGTAGACTTGTACCACTCATCCACAGAGCATGAACATTTGAAAATGCTGACCAACAGTCAAACTTCTAGGAAAAATGTTACTGACAGAAAGAAATAGGGATTACATTTTAAATAACTATGAAAGACACCAAAACATCCTGCTAAAAGTTAACAGATATCAATATACACTCAGAAAGTGACCTCAATCGTATAAAAATAAATCAGCCAGATTTTGAAGTACAAGTCTATAACTCTAGCATTCATGAGTTTGAGACCAAGTACTTTTTAAAAAAACAAAACACAAACAAATCCAGGGATGGTGGCTCAAGCCTTTAATCCCAGCAAGAGGTAGGGGGTGTAAGCTCGGAGGAGGCAGTTAGTGCAGCCTAGTCCACAAAGCAAGCTTAGGATAGCTAGGGCTGCACAGAAACGCAGTTTAGAAAACCAATAAGGGGCTGGAGAGATGACTCAGTAGTTAAGAGCTCTAGCTGCTCTTCCAGAGGATCTGGGTTCAATTCCCACAAAGCAGCTCACAACTGTCTGTAACTCCAGTTTCAAGGGACCTATGCCCCCACTCAGATATACATGCAGGCAAAACACCAATAGACATAAAAATTTTAAAAAGCCAATAATAATAAAACAACAACAAAAAGCATTGAGGGGCCAGCAAGATGGTTCACTGTATAAAGACACTTGCTGTACAAGCCTTGTGACCTGAGTTCAATGCCTGGACCCAAATAAATTTAAGAGAGACAACTGACTCTACAGAGCTATCTCCTCTGACCTCCACACATGTAATATGGCAAACATGCCTATGCACACATATCATGTACTTATACAATAAACATTTCTGCAAAAGGTGCTAAAATATGGCTCAGTTGGTTAAGTGCTTGGCTAACATGCTCTGATCTCAGCACTGAATGAATTAAGTGTAAGGGCACATGCCTTTAACTCTGGCATGCCAGCACTCTGGAAGGTGGGAGGAGGTTCAAGGTCCCCTTCAGCTACAAAGCAAGTCCGTGGCCAGCCTGGGATAAATAGAAGTCTAGTTTAATCCAATAGAAACTGTACTTATTTATTTATTTATTCATTTATTGATTGATTGATTTTGTCAAGACAGGGTTTCCATGTGTAGCTTTGGCTGCCCTGGCCCTCTCTTTGTAGACTAGACTGGCCTCGAACTAACAGTGACCCGCCTGCCTCTGCCTCCCAAGTGCAGAGATTAAAGACCTGCACTACCACCCGTCCTTTTTTTTTTGGAGGGAGGGGTATCCATGGCTGGAACTGACTCTGTAGAACAGGCTGGCATCGAACTCAGAGATCTGCCTGCTGGAATTAAGGGCATGTGCCAAAACTTTTTTTTTTTTTTACTTTTTATTTATTTATTTATTTTTGGTTTGTTTTTGGCTCTTTCTTTTTTTTTTTTTTTAAATGCTGGCTAGAACCTAAGTATGCTTTGTTCTGATCATTTGGACTTCCTTACTCATTCTCTAAAACGTCTCTCCCCAACGAACATGTGGCTTCCTACCACTAGCCACTTTAGCTCAAATGACATGGCTTTTTTCTTCTTTCCTTCAACTTCCACCTCTGGCAGATAATGAGATTTGCAGCTTGCCTGCCCTGGTATGTTTTCCTTTTAAACTCTAATGAACTGTTTCTGAGCTTAAAACACGAACATATCAACTGTATTTCTATAACCAACAAGAAACAACCCCCATGAAAGGACAAAAGAGATAGGTGGGAGGTGGGGGTGGGGTGTAGAGGCTGGCCAAGGTGAACAAGACCCTGCATTTGACAGCCAGCACTGCAAAAACAGTGTCCTGGTTCTCCTTAGGGCAACTGTGAAAGTACCCTAAAAACTGCGAGGACTCCTTAAAACATGCAAATACGTCTCTTGATTAGCTCGGTGCAGTGGCGCATACCTGTAATTCCAAAACTCTGGGAGGCAGAGGCAGGAAGACCTTTGTGAGTTTGAGGCCAGCCTGGTCTACAAAGTGAGTCCAGGACAGCCAGGCTACACAGAGAAACCCTGCCTTAAAAAAACCAAACCAAACCAACCAACCAACCAACCGACAGAATCACAGAATTACTTGATATAGTATTTCTCTAAAAACTAAAAAAAAAAAAAAAAAAAGCAAGATAAATTCAAAATGAAACAAAAAGAATTATTCCAATTATCAAAGAATGACTCAGTGGACATAGTCATATTAAAGAAATTAAGACACATAATCGTCTGATTTTTATGGATGCTAAATTTCTGTTCATAAAATATGCAATAAAACAAAAAGACAAGTATGTTGCCTAAGGCAGGAGGATCACAAACTGAAGGCCAGTATATGCTATAAAAGAAGCTCTGTCTCAAATAAAAACAACAAGAGAAAAGGAGAAAAACTAAGAAATTGAGGGTATTTTCTAACATGGTATTATGGAATGAGCAGGAAATGTAAAAAAAAAAAAAAAAAAAAAAAAAAGGATTTCTGAGCTGGAGATGGCTCAGCCACTAAGAGCACTGGCTGCTCTTCTAGCGGTCCAGAGTTCAATTTCCAGTCAACCACATGGTGGCTCACAACCATCTATAATGTGTTCTGATGTCTCCTGGCATGCAGGTGTACATGCAGATAGAGTACTCAAACATAAAATAAATAAATAAATCTTAAAAAACAAGACAAAACAAAAAAGGATTTCTGAAGGGATAGCGCTTACATATAGACAGTCAAGGTGTATCAGAAACCTGGCCTGAGGCAAGGTCTCAACCAGGCAGCATCAAACACACACAACTTTCGCAATAAAATACACATCAATGCTATTTTTCCAACACACATGGCCACTCTCAGAGATCTGTGAGAAAAGCCAGGGTCCTCACCTTCCAGCCTAGAGCATGCAGCCCTACCACAGCCCCATAGTGAGAACAGAG